AACTTCTGTGCTATCCTAGGCTTACATGTCTTTTGCTTCTTTTCAATGAAGAAAGTGATGTTTATTTTTTCTATATATATGTAGATGTCCATTGTCTTTTAGGAGTACCTTTTCTTTTGAAGCTTTCAAAAAGCTACTACTTAGTACTTACTAACCTTAATTAAACACAATTTATGTGTGAAAATGGGCTGCTTTTTTCTTTATCATGGTTAATGTGTTCTTATAAAAGTGAAAAGAAAAAAAATTATGCACACTTTGTAAGTGTTTGGTGTGCTTTATATGTTTGTTTGGTGTGAAAAGAATTAAGTGGATGTAAACTAGGTCCAAGTTAAAAGTAACTAAATAATAGGGCAAATGAACAAGATAGAACCTTTTGATAATTTATCCTTTAGAGTAGACTAGTTGGACTAGTCAGATCAATAAATTTCGAATACTAAATCTTTAATAGAAAAACTTATATGGTTATATTGTTGTCATAATTATTTATCTCCACTTTGTATACTGTTCCAGTCCTAGTGAATCCAGAGTTAAAAGATTTTCTCAGGAAAAAAATAAATTTTGGAGGCTCTTTGTTTTGAATTTACTACTATTATTTGTACATAACTTGAAGAAACAGAAAGAAATCTCATGTGCATTTAATTCTCTTTTGGTTGTTTATATCTGTCTCTTATTTTTCCATAAGTTTGCAGAGCAAGTGAACAACTTCTATTTCTTTTTGACAGTACAAATAATTATTTTTGTAGCACTAATTGCTTGTAATAAAGTTTAACAACTCTGCCCCCAACAACTTGCAACTAGGGTTTAAAAGTAATACTTAGTAGTAACAAAAATATTTTCCATTATTTGTGATATTGTTCGCCTTGAATTTAAATTTATGTCACTAAGGAGTAAAGAATAAGACCACTTGGATGAAAATAACATTCACAAAAATGTTATAATATAGGGTAGTATCGAACATAGAAGACATTGATTGATAACAATAAAAGGATGGATGCTTGATTATGATACAATAGAGGTCTATTAGTTTAACTCAGTTGACCACCGTAATTGATGAATGAATAGGTAGTCGGTAGATTAGGTGCACCTCTCTCTAAGTGAGAAGTAATGAGACTAGTCTCCCTCCTTCCAAGGGTCTTAGACCCAATCATTCCTAGCACGAAGCACTCTAAGATAGGGTAGGCATTGGCTAGTGTTCTCTCGCTTGGCTTGGCCCAAGTACCTATTTAAGATATTCTCGGAAAAAGTCATCCCACCCTTAATAAGATGGTTAAAGAGGCAACTGCGGATTTCTGATTTCCGAATCGGAACTATGCTTATGATGTTACATAAGTGAGAGGATCATCTTCAAGTTAATTGAGTAACTATTTTTTTTAGCTATTGGTAAAATTTAAATAATAATAACAAGGAAAAATCTTTTTGGTCAGAGTTTGGCTAGAATGATATTTTATCTATGCTATTTTACATTTTAAAACATTTTTACCCTTTTAACTTTAATACCTTTTAACTAAAAAATGGAAAAAATATCAGTTTATTTTAAAATAAAAAAAATATTATAATTTTTTAAATTTTCTGACCAAATTTTCTGGTCATTTAGCACTTCCCTAATAACAATATCATATCCAGAGAAATTCCATAAAGTGGAATTTGGAGAGGGCAGAGTACACATAAATATTATTATTACTTTGTGGAGATTAAAGGACTTGTTTTCGAAAGACCGTCAAAAATTTATGAAAATGAAAAAATATTCATGACGTGTAATAAATAAAATATATATAGACAAAAGATATCACCCATCATTTCAATTAATCAAAAGGCACCCCACGTTTTCAGGTAAAGCCTTTCAGCATATCCGGCATAAACTACATGCAATACTTATTATTTGAAAAGGTGACATCATATTAAACAACTATATAGTATATATAATATTCACAAAAATGTTAATGTGTGTTGGATTATTGTCGATGATTGTGATTCCATCCTGATCTCAAGAGATTATCTTCAATTTGAGCCTACGTGAATGAAAAACAAATCATATTGAAAATAACCCTATAAATGGGCACTGCAATGCATGAACATGTGTGGATCTAGGGGGTGTTCGATCTTTTATTGGGCATGAATTCAGATTTTATTGGATTTCATTGCGGATACGATGAAAAAAAAAAAAAAAAAAAAAGGGAACATTTTTAGTACTATATATTTGTTAGTTAATTCTAAGTGGCACCCAATAGTTGCTAATTACAAATTGAAACCTTTCTTTTTGGCAATAATTATAATGGATCTAAAGTACTACACTGAAATTAATTTACTCGACATGATAATGTTTAGTGAACAAAATGATTATTCCAGCTTGTTTAGATAAAAAAAATATTAGTACTTAACTACTTATAATTAAACTATTCAAACCACATGCGCCACTAAGTCATTCTGCACCTTTTGAAGCTTTTTTCTTTCTTTATAATTACTATTATTATTATCAATATTAAGATTTAATTAACTAGTAAAGCTTTTATTTGTGACAAAATTCTATTAAGATGTTTAAATTTTGTCTGCCACTAAGACTAAGTCTTATAACGTGTTACTTTTCTTTGAAAACGATGAGCTCAACTAGAAAACATAGTCCACATTAACTTAGATATATAATCGATTTCACCTTTGTGAAATTCCATCGCTAAACCAGCCAAACTGTGCCCAACTTTGGTTCAAGGGGTGTTATTTACATGATGTATTCATTATTTGCTTCTGCTTTTTAATAATATATATATATATTTAGTAAAAAAAATTGACGAATCAGTGTCACGTGAAATATATTGGATCATTTTCTTTTGTATAAATTATAGGAACTACATATTATAAGTACTAAATAACATCCTATCCCTTCTAGTTTTCTATTTACCAAAAATCCCTTAAAAATGATGTTTGCGGGATACATAGAGTTGTGCACGAGATACATTAGGTTTGATACATTCCACATAGCGGGATACATAGCGTTGTGCATGGGATACATTAGATTTGATACATTCCACATAGCGGGATACATAGCGTTGTGCACGGGATACATGCGGGATACATAACGTTGTGCACGGGATACATAGCGTTTGATACATTCCACATAGCGGGATACATAGCGTTGTGCACGGGATACATAGCGTTTGATACATTCCACATAGCGGGATACATAGCGTTGTGCACGGGATACATGCGGGATACATAGGTAAATAAGGGATTTTTGAAATTTTTGAAATAAGTAGGGATAAATGGATATTAAGGTAAGTAAAGGAGTGTAGTTAAGTAATTGGGAAAATTGTATGAAATAGCAAACTATTAATTCAAATTAAATGTTATAGCCATAGTTTATTTTATTTGTAATTCGCAGCAAACATCCCATTTTTTTGCCATCTGGTTCGGTATACAACTAGTCATTTTCGGTATACAATTACTCATTCGGTATACAAATGTATAAAATGTGTTTGTGTTTGTATAAAGCGAGAGAAAGGTGTATATACAAATACAAATACATATATTTTCGTCCTATACACTTAATAATTATACAAATACAGATCTTATTATATGAATTACAATGTATAAATAAATTTATACAAAACTGAACAATTTGTATAAAATTGGATGTATCTAGCGAATTATACAAATCAATACTCCATAGCAAACATAAAATTTGCTATGGAGCACAATTATGCAAACTATAGTTATAACATATAAATATGATTTTTATGTTTGCTATATGTGAAAGTTGCTCTAAGTAATTTATCCTTTTCTTTTTTTGGGGGGGTGGGGGTGGGAGCTGTTGGGGATAGGGCTATGGGATTCAGGCCCAAGTTTAAAGGCCCAAATTGAAGCTTGTTGTTAAAGATTTATTTATGCACATTTTGTAGTATAGCCGAATAGTAGTTAGAATAAGGGACAAGTACACAAAATAGCCAATTTGAGGATTAGAGTTTTAAGGCATAGTTAAATATATTAACTTATTTAAAATCAACTTTAGACTTAGAAGTTGAAAATATATGTGTCTAAATTACTAACTTCAGATGCATATATACTCATCCCCTTTGATAGACATTGTTCGCACAAACAAATTTATTGCTTACAATATATGTAGTTTATATGAAATATTTCATCTGAAGTCCATTGTATATAAGACGTTTGGATATTTTTGAGTTACTTGACTTGATAAGTTTTCATCCGAAATTAAAATGTTCTAGACGATAGAACAAACAAATTTCAAACACAATAGAATTTAAGTTAGGTACATTAACAATACAAAGATTTTCTCTTGTAGTAAACTTTAACATGTAAGATTGCAAGATTTACCTACAATTATTACTAAATTATCAAGAAATTTTACATGCAATTGTCTATTATATAAAATTTATCTTCTCACACCATCGATACATAGAAATCAAATCATTTTTTTACAATATAAGTTAATTCTAAACTTTCCCAAATAAAATTGCACACTTCTTTGGTTAATCAATCAAGGAGTCTTTATCTCTTTGTTGGTCAAACTAAAAAAGATAAAAAAGTATTCTTTTCAAATAAAATAAAAAACCGCGTGGCTTTCATATCATCATTTCATGTGACCACAACTCAACCTAAAAGAACAAACAACCAAAAGGCTATTTTTTTTTTTCAATCTCAATTTATCTTCATTATTTTTTTAATCTAATTATAAAAAATATTAACTTATATATTTAATATACTTCTTAATTTCAATATTTCATATGACATCTTTAAAAAAATCACGAGTTTAAAAATATCTTGATACATAAGATTGATAGAATAGCGATTACAATTTTTTTCTACTCATGATTCGACAGAACCTATTAGCTAGTAATTTTTGTACAAACCTTTGTAATTGTATTTGAAAATAACAATTTATTTATTTTAAAAAATAATTATATTCAGAACTCATAAATTTAAAATTAGGCTTCGAGCTCTGAAAAGAAGAAAAGTCTTATGAAAACCTAGAATACATGATCATATTTCTTATCCAATCATTTCCACTATACTCTAAAATTCCCACCCCCAAAAAGCTCTCTCTTTAGAAGACAAACACAAACCCCTCAACATGCAACAACAACAAGACTTTCAAGAAAACTTGGAATCTTGCAATTATTTCTCCAAAAATAAATCATCATCAAGTGATAATAATATGATGGGAGATTATTATGGTTTTGATATTGAAGCTATTAAAAGTTTTTGTAGCTCTTCCCCATTTTACCCTCATCATCATCCTGTGGAATTTCAAGAAACTATAGAGAGTAATAATAATAATAATAATAGTCCAGAAGCTAGAGCTAAGAATCATAAAGAAGCTGAAAGAAGAAGAAGACAAAGGATTAATTCTCATCTTCATAGCCTCAGAACCCTACTTTCTTGCAATTCTAAGGTAATTTCTTGTCGCTATGAAATTCATCGTTAATTTGTTGTTAAATTAACTTGTATGTATATATGTAACAAGATTATTTGATACTTAATTCATACTAATTGATTATTGAATAGAATTAATCAACAACTAGATTTGTCTGCTTAGCCACATAATTATTAAGTTGTGCCCATTGTTAATTTTTATTCTTAATGTGTATTTCCTATTCTTTTTTTATTACTGTACTAAATTTGGTGGAAGATTGAATGAAACATGATTTTTTTTAAAAAAATTCAGAAAAAGTAAATAAATTGATCTAGTTATATATTTGATATATTTCAATTGATAATTTCAAAAAAAAAAAAAACTGCTTGTTTTAGCTTCATTTTATTTATTTTTTGGGGCAATAATTTTTATGATAAAGAAATTACTACATGTTATAAATAAGTTTATTCCTTTACAATAGTTTCCTTCGATTCTATACATCTAATTTAATTTCGAATTAAGTCTACATCTCAAGATTTGTGGTTATTATGAAGAAGAATAAAAGCATGATTATATCTGTTTTCTTATTCTTCTTTTTATTTAAAAAATTTTATATTCGAGATTCTTATTTAGTAGAAAACACTGAAAAAGAATATTCAAACTTCCTTCTAGGTCTGAAGTACATAAATTAGATATATTGGGAAAGTAGTTTCACTTTTTCCACCAAAAAACAATAAAATGGCATTTCTCTTTTGTTCTTATTTTCTTTCTTTTTGAATGACTTTTTTGTTTTGCTCTGACTATCAGTATAATGAATTTTTATATGATCGATACATAACTTAATTTGTTATAACATATTATTACCCTTTCAATAAAATCATTTGTGATTAATTCCTTTTACATCGTCCTTATCGATGTATATAACTTAAACTCATTTTTTTTCTTCATTTTACAGTTAGATAAAGCTTCATTACTAGCCAAAGTTGTTCAACGTGTGAGGGAACTCAAAGAACAAACTTCACAAATTATGCAAAGTGAAACAAACTTATTATTCCCTTCAGAAACTGATGAAATCAGTGTGTTATCATCAAATGATTGTTTAGCTGATGGAAGATTACTCATTAAGGCCTCTCTTTGTTGTGAGGATCGATTTGATCTCATCCCTGACCTAATTGAAACCCTAAAATCACTCGGATTGAGTCCTATAAGAGCGGAAATGGTCACGTTAGGAGGGAGAATTCGTAATGTGATTGTATTAGCTGTTGATCATAAGGAGAGTAATAATAACAATACTGATCATGATGAATCGTCGTTGTTGTTCTTGAGAGATGCTTTGAGGTCTATAGTTCAACGTTCGAGTTATGGTACTGGTGAACGAGGTAAAAGACGAAGAGTATTAGGTCAAGGAACAAGAAATTACTAGGGTATAATATGTATAACTTTTCCATGCATGCTTTGTTGAAATATTGGAGCTTTGGAGCAACTTTAAATTGTACCTTCTTTAATTGTGGGAATTATAGGTTACCAGTTCGATCTGTGAAATCAGTCATGAGGTACTAGTGGAAGGTCCAAAAGACCAAAAGTAGTAAAGTTATTAAATCAGTCATTGATACTTTTGTGTGAACGTGACATGATTTGTGTTTGCCTGTAATAGTAACTAGTTAGGGTTTTGTTCAATAACAAATAATGTAAGTAATCGTTTCACTTAATATAACTATGATTGATGATCTGCAAGGAGATAATTAAATCTTGCCATTTGTTATATGTTTCATTGTTGAAAAGTTTGTTATGTACCTCAAATCATGTGTGAGATTATATAATTCATTTATTTCAATGATTATAATGTGATCCCATCCTTACTGAAAAATTAAAGATTATAATACACTAATGGTGTGGAAATTGTTTACACTAACCATATATAAAACGTAAACTCTTTTAACTTATCAAATCTCCATCAATTACAAAGGACTTTTTTTATCCCAATCAACTCGATATGTTAAAGCGCTCTAATGGACGTGTAAGAATCATCTTATTTAAAAGCTTAAATTTTTAAAAATATCACAAATGCAAGTCTGAATTACTTTTTATATTGGAAAAATCTTTTTGGCCAGAAAATTTGGCCAGTATTTGGCCAAAATGATATTTTATCTATGTTATTTTATCTTTTAAAACATTTTTACCCTTTTAACCTTAATACATTTTAACTAAAAAATGAAAAAAAAAATATTAGTTTATTTTAAAATTAAAAAAAAACATTATAGTTTCTTTTAATTTTCTGTCCCAATTCTGACTAAATTTTCTGGCTATTTAACATTTTCCTTTTATATTTTTGTTAAATTTTTGAAGTAGCAAATGTTAAAGAATCTAGGTAGACAGCATGCGATTTTAGTTCCCACACAAAAGCTCACGAGAACAAACATTCTTTTGGGAATATATCAATGTTAGATTCTTAAACAGTGAAAAACATTTTTGTTGGCAAAAAACTATACAACAATTAATAATACAGTTTAATCACGATTATTTTAAAAATTTTTAAAAAACAAATAAATTTAAATTTTTATTTTTAAAAATCACAATTAATAATTTAAGACGAAAAAGTAAAAAAAAAAACATTATGAGTTATTGAAAACAGTAAGTTTTGTTTGTATGGCGCATTGTGTAGTGCCGGCTGAGGCGTGCTGCTTGTCGGCCCACTTTTACTGTGAAAAGACAATTATTACTTACGTTGTTTTGAATGAATGAATGTCTCCTAATTCTCCATTCTTTTTTCTGACACCTTCTCAATGCGTGCTACTTTCTGTTCCCTATACATCTACTCACTTACTTGTTTGGTATTCGATATTCATATTAAATTTCGATGATAATATATCAATATTCGATATTCATATTAGATTTCGATAATTTAGTATACATGTTAATTAGGAGATGTGTTTTTGGTGTATTTTTTGTTTTAGTTTATCTGTCTGATTTTGACTTGATATAAGGTTTAAGAAATTGATTTATTTTTTTGAGATATTTCAATGAATATTATGAGCACATATGAGATATGTCACTACAAAAAATATTGTTCAAAAGCATTAGTTGTTTCGTACGTATACTGAAGTGCAAAAAGTTATTTTCACATGTTTCTAAAACAAATAAGCTCTTTTCGAGTCAAAGAATTATGATCTAGTGGTATCGATGAGAGTAATTTCAATTCGCTCTATCCCACTACCTCCAACTTTATTAAAAATATCAAAAGACAACATGATTTTCACTAATTTAAAATGGGAAAGGGGAAAAGAAAAGCTTACTAGCAATATCAAAAGAGTTTATGTTGTTGCAGTCTAAATGGGAAGGCCCATTATTAGTATATATCAATAGGTCCAAACTTCTCTATAACCAATGGGTCCACATTGATGAAATTGGGCCTATAAAATCTTACTCAAGTGGATCTTCTTACACCCACCCATTGGTGACAAGTTCTAATTTTGATGCTTGTGATTTTTGATTAAGTATATTTGACTTTTAATCGATAGATGTGTATTTTTTATCCCTCGAATTGTGAATTAGAACAAATTTAACGAATTATTAAATGCTAAGCCATTCTCTTATCGACGATGTATCATTTTAAATTTGCATTGTTGCACCATTATTTAAGGAAGATGTCACGTATTTCCAACATAAAGATAAAAAAAAAGATACAAATTTTAATTAATTGAAAATTACATGTATCAAAACTTATATTACAAGGATTAAAATCAAAATTCATCGAGGAAATCGAGAGAGTATAAAGAAGCCCAATGGAAGCCCATTGGGTTGAAGTTAGCCGTACACTGAACAAACAAGCCCAACCAAAAATAGAAAAACAGAACCATTATTAATGTGAATTGGGACTCAACAATTTCTCACTTGATTCTTTTTGAAACATTATAGTCGGTTTGGCGAAACTTCAAAAAATAACTTCATTTTAAAAAGTATTTTTTGTCAAGTTCTTTGAGAAAGTACACTTGAAAAATTACAATTTATGTCTGCCTAATTAATTTAAAATAGAGTTGTACTCACAAAAATTAATTAATAATATCTCTTTTTCCTCATAATTTATTTGTGGTTGTTGTTTATGTTTTGTGAAAATGATAAATTTGTTGCAAAAAAAAAAAAAGAATACGATGTATATGAAGAAAAAAAGTCATTTTGTTGATGAATCTTTGTGAGTATCATTTTATGTATTCCATCGATTCTATTCTCTAGAATTCTTAGTGATTTCAAAGTTGAAGCAACATCGTTTCACATTAATCTTCTAGAAGAACTCTAATGATAGCTCGAACTATATTGTTGATATTGAGTCCATGTGCTTGAGAATGTCTTCGCCAAATGAACCAAAAAAAATGATATATTACCATAGTTGTAGTTGTTGGGGGGTAAGTAGTCCCATTACATATGAACTCTATTTGTTGGTTTTGGTTAGCTCATGTTACTCATCAATTCTATCACAAGAATTATGTGACAAGGTAGTATAATTGGATAAAATATGTCATTTTGGAGATTTGGCTGCCTTTGATTGGTCTTTAATTTAATTGAGGATTGATGTATTATTTGAACACGTGAAATTATCTTGTTCGTTGTGAGTTTGTTTGAAATATCATGTCACTAAATACATGACATAATCTTGGACCTTCAAATGAATTGAACCTTAATTAGCTTGAATTAATAAAATAAGCTTATTTAATTTGTGAAATCTAAATTAATTGCTCTACCCCAAATAAAATTTAAGCGTTAATCCAAATTTAGTATGGATTAGACATATAAGTGTCATGTGTGCATATATGCTTATATGACTAATATGGGTTGTGATGAATGATTAGGATTCCTCTATTCTCAACTAGATGTTTCATGTTCGAATTTTTGAGAATGAAAAAAATGTATTGTGAATGTCGACTCCAGAAATGACTATAGGAATATAAAAAACCAAGGAAATATATTTGCATGTAATTATGTATGCAAAACTAAAATTATGAAGGCTTATCTAGTTATCTAATTAGCACATATTGTGAAGTTAAATATTCTAAAGGGTTTTCTTTTTTCATTTCTTCAATCATTTTAGTGTTTGGTCAAGGTTTTGGAATCATTTAGGTGCATAAGATGCTTCCTTTCACCAAGTTAAAGGTGCTTTTTAACAATAATGAGATATATATAATTATTATATATAAAAATAAAATAAATTTTATAGTGGCAATTAATAAGTGAAGAACAAAGGTGTATTTTTTAGGTTCTGACACATAGAATCTCTAATCTACAAGATAGTCAAATTGTAAGAACCAATGATAAGAGAAACACCCCATTTTTCTACATTTGTCTCTGTTATATTCCTCATTTCAATAAAAAATAATAATCATAAAATAATGAAATTTTCGTATTCGATGCTTGATACTTGTAATAAATTTCAATTATTTTAAATTTTCACATTGTAAAATCTATTAAAGGGTGAAATATTCATTGCCAGCGTTTTTTTTATATTGAAAGTTTAAATTCTAAACTTTTAATTAAGGAAGAAAATATCTTTATCTTTATGGTGATTCTACTTTTCAAAATTGATTACATTGAGCTTCAAAGTTTGAAATTCTTCAAAAATAGAACATTTTCATGTACTTTCAAGCCATTTATATAATTTATCAAGTACTCATATTTTATTTTGTTCAATAATAGTGAAGAGTTATATTATTATTATTATTACTAATAAAATAGAATTAATAGAGACATGCATTAAACTCTTATTCCCATTGGGTGGCATGTGGACCCCCAAGAGATAATTTTCAATTTTTCAATTATGAAAGCCTCAAAATGGGTGGACCCCACACACTTCTTTGGTCAAGGCCTTTTATTTTTATTTATTTTGGTCAAGAATATCAACATAGTGAAAACTGACCACATAGTGGGTCACCTAACAATATATATACTCATCAATATAATTAGAAAAGAGGAGGTGGCAAAATTAACAATCTAATGATTATTTGTGTTCTTAATTTAGGGGTCATTTGATGTTGGAATTATTAATTACACAACATAAAATCTCACATAAGATAATATAATATTTGATTCATCACATAATTGGAAAATAATATAGATAAAAAAAATTTAGTATCTGTAGCAAGAATAAATTAAATTCGAATTCTCATCCGAATTCTTTCTTCATTGCGGGAGAAATCGATCTGTAATTAATTTGGACGAAAAAAATTCCTGTTTGTAATTGTTGGTTGCGTAATTAACGCAACATTTGATTGGCAATATTAAATGATACTATACTTGGATTAAATGAAGTGAAAATTTGTGTATTGTTTATCCGAGATAAAAATATAGTGGTAATTAAGCTATATATATATTATATAAAAAAATACTTTGTTAAAACAAGTATTCATGCATAACATTATTAATAACCATATAGCA